TTTCCTTTCCTTTCCTTTCCTTTCCTTTCCTTTCCTTTCCTTTCCTTTCCTTTCCTTTCCTTTCCTTTCCTTTCCTTTCCTTTCCTTTCCTTTCCGCCTCCCTCACTCCTTCCTTTCCTTTCAGCCTCTTCTTCTTCGTTTTCCTTTGCTTTCCCTTTTTCCGCCTGCCCTCAGCGAGCCAAGTAAAGCGGCCGCGAGGTTTCTAAGCGGCACAGTCACGCGTGGAAGAGCTGCAGCAATTCCCCAAATCATTAATTACCACCTTTCCAAGGCTTTTTTTTTTTTTTTTTTCCCCGTTTTTTCTTCCCCCTTTACATTCCGGTTTGAGTTGGTGCGCCCTGCGTTGCAACCCTCCCCTCTTCACAAACAAACAAAGCTCCGAACCAGTCCCGTCCTGCCTGGTTTTATTATTTGGTGTTATTATTGTTATTATTTGAGGCCGGGGAGCTGCCCCTTCCGCTCGTTAGCCCCGGGCTAAAGGGCCTCCGAGGGCACCGCGCGGCCGCCGGGAGCCTGACACCAAGTGGCATCTCTCCACTGGGGCTGCCAACAGCAACGGCACCAAAACCAGCCCATTTTGGTCCCRTGTCGCGGGCGGGAAGCCGCCCGGCCCCGGCGCGGCGACGCTCCCCGGCASAGCCGTTCCCGGGAGCGCGGCTCTTTCCGGAGGGTTGCGGAGCAAGCGGGAGCTGCTCAAGCTTCCCGCTGCGGCAGGAGGCTGTGGAGCTTCCAAAGGCTCCATGCAGCTTCGGGTGTGTAAATAAAACACGGAACCAACTTTTCCCCAGCAATTTACGCTCACGCCGCTAACGTGTCGTTAGCAGCACCAGAAATAAAACAAAGCAAAAAGAAAAAATAAAATTTAAGGGGAAAAAAGACTTTTTTGGCTTCTCTCTCTGATTTTGGCATCTCTCTCTGAACTTATAAAGAGGAAAAAAAAACAAAGGACAAACTTCTATTCAAACGAATGTGGGCATGGCATAGTCTGCTGGACCTTCAAAGGCGGCCGCCACGACGCTCCGAGAAAGTACAGCATGTAAGAGGTAATTAAGCATTTAAATTTAGGATTTACMTCCAGTATCTCTTAACTCCTGCTTGGTTTCGGGATACCCTCTGTTTTAAATATTTCATTAACGCAATTCCCCGTTAATGTGCCCTGCCTCTCGCAGACAGTGAGGTACRTATTTATGACTCAAGTTTATCCAAGAATACGGGGAACAGTCTTATGCAAAAACATAGCCACAGATGGATAGATATGAAAAAAGCTACCTCAAACCTGCTGCTTTTTAATTTCTCTCTCTTTTTTTTTTTTTCCCCCTACAAACTTATGCTCCCAGTGAAGTCTCCAAACTAATTAGAATTGATTTATTATGGATCAGGTACCTTATCAGGTGAAGAAAGAAATTACCATGGACAGTCAAAGGGTTAAGAGGTCAATACAGAATAGCAAAATCAATTTGCATTGATTAGACAAAAGGTCCATTTTGCAGGGCCCAAAGGATTAACTTTTAAGCAAACATCTTTGAACTATAAGACAGCATTTGTGACTGAGAGGTATAAGCAGCACAGCATTATAAAACACTTAAGATATTTAAATAAGAAAATAATGCAAGCAGTGGTTTAAGCTATCTGGATGTTTATTTTTTATTATGAATCATCCCTGGGATTATTGTACAATTCGCTTGAAAGCCCCATGGAAAGTATGCAATTGTTTCATTTATCCCGCGTGTCAATCTTCCCATGAGTTTTCATTCAGGTAAGGTGACTAAACTCCRGAGAGTTGCAGAGAATGGAGAAAATATGTGCAAAGGATTGCACTAATCCCAATGTTGCTTGTGATGAAATATTTACTTGGCACACACAGTGCTTTGCCACAAAGGCCAGAGAGACCTTTTTTTGTGTGTGTTTCCCTCCCCGCAGTGAGATGGGGTTGTAAAACCCATCCGCAAGGCAGAAGGAAGGAGCCTCCCTTCCGTGGGTCACCCTTCCCTTCCCTGCCTTACCAAGCGCAGTGGGATGCTGCAGGAGACAGCGCGGCTGCAATGTGAAGAACAAGCCCTGCGAATACTCCCTACTTCCCTACTTTTTTTTTTTTTTTTCCGGAGTTGATTCCAATGTGAGTGCATTTCCCTGTGCCAACTTTTTATTATTGTTTTTCCCCGTGTTTTTGCGAGCACAAGCGTGGCTGTGGGGCCGCCCTCGGGACGCAGCGAGCTCTTACCTTCGATGGCGAGCATCGCTCTTAGCTCCCGGTTCAGCAGCTCGTAGCGCCTTTCTAGGTCATGCTCCTTTTCCCTAGGCAAGTGGCAAAAGTTCATCAATATGTTAATTACTAAATCATTAAACACTTAAAAGAACCTTTAACGTGCATTGATTTTAGGACTCGTAACCGACTTTTCTCTTTAACTTTAAGCTACTCCAAACAAATGATACACAAACTTAGAAGCCGGCCTGGCTGGCGTATCCCGTACGGGAGCCTTTTCGGTTCCCGTAATTTAATTCCCGCAGTTTAACTCCGCAGCAGCACAAAATACCTGAGCGAGCCGCCCCGGCRCGGCAGCTCTGCCGTGTCCCAAGCCCTGAGCATCCCCCTCTCCCTCAGGACCCCATTCCAGCGTCGGCGCTAACGCGACACGGGCGCTATCCCTAACCCACGCTGGGAATGGGATGCGGGATTAGGAAGTTCAATGTGAGGAGGCAGCGCCGGAGCCGGGGCTGGGGCCGGTGGGGAGCTTGCAGGGYCATTCCCAGGCGGCACCCGGCTCCYGATGGCTGCTCCGCTCCGTGCCGGGATGGCATGGGACAGGACAGGAGCTGCCTGGCTCTCGGTGCCCGCCGGAGCATCGCGGACACGCGGGTTCCCTCCCCACGGGGCACAGGGGAGCGCGAATCCGGCGCGGTTCTATTCGAGCGTGTGGCCTGTGCAAGGATAACTGCACCTCAAACTAGTCCGGCTAATCTGGTGTCCCTGCACGCTTTGCATTTTCCAGTCTGAAATATGGGAGAAACTCCCCAAATCCTCCCCGCTGCCCCTCTGTGAGGGAGCGCCTTGAACCCAGCTGGGAAGCGGAGACGTCTTCCCTCTACACTGTGGGCACTGTGTATCCCAGTAAGCCACCCTTGGATAAACACATATATCCCTCCATACTTACAGGAGAGAAAGCTGGTTCATTCGTCTTATTAAGGCATTTTTCTTATTGACCAGCATGAACCACTCCTGCATCATAGCCTCCTCCTCCTCCGTGTTCCTCCCTGCAACAGAAAGCGCGGAGTTACTCGCCCGACGTTTCCCAGGCTCGACGACGCGCTCCGGTYCTGCAGCGCGAGCTGGGCAGCACGGGGTGCGTTCTCGGCCGGTGCAAACGCGACAGGACAACAACATCCCGCGCCCTGCTGCTCTTGGCACCTGCAGTGCCGCAGGCAGCGCCCGGCCCCGGCCTCGCGGGGACCCTCGCAGCCCCCATCCGTGCTGGAGATGGGGGGCACCCACCCGGCAYCCCGGGGGAAAAGGGCACGGAGCCCCGGGGAGGCTGCTCCTCCAGCCCGCACGGTCTCATACATCTTGCACCTTCCACGGCGTTCAAAGGGACTTGGGAAGAAACCGGGAAGAGAGGCACAGGAGCCGGGAAGCCCGAGTTGCTCTCCTGGCTCTGGTTCCCCAGGGACCGCGGGCAGCGCGCCGGGGAGGAATGCGGGATAATCATCCGTGCCTATCTCGCAAAGGGTGCGAAAGGCCAATTCTTTGATGTCTGCAGTGTTTGGCAATGCCTGATGCAAGGTGCCGCACAGCCGGCGACGCTCCGTCATTAACTCCAACCATCGGATCGCACGCGGGGAAGCGTTTCCCGACACCCAAAGCTGGCAAGATACCAAACCGAGATGTGGCTCTGCACTAAGTTTCTGGGTGTTTGCACCCAAAATGGTGCATGCAGGTCCCACAGGTAGTGCAGGGCAGGGCTGGTGGGCCCGGGCGCATGGAAGCATCCACGGATGTTGTTTGTCCTGCGCTYGTTTTTCCTGCAAGCTGCTTGCAAGTCTCCCCATGAGAGGGTCAAGGCTACAGGTAGAGCTTGGTGTGAAGTTCCAGATGAGGGGAACTGCCCCGTTGCTCCAGCTAACAGGACGCGCATCATTCCCAACGCTTCCAAGGCCACCATCCTTGCAAGGCATCGAGCTTTCACTCTGCTTTGCCCGCGTTTGCTTTTGCAAGCCTTAAAAAAGGCRAAAAATGGGACAGAGGGGAGCTGCACTCAAGAGAACCAGCTGAACCTCTCAACCTTGTGGCAGGAAGAGCACAAACCTAAGATGCCCCTTTCCACGTCCCCTCCAAGGAAAATAAAGTTGGTGGCAACATCCATGGCACAAAGCTCTAGGTGACGCCTGCCCATGTTGAACTTAGCAGGTGCATCTCCTGATAGTGTTTATGCTAACTCTGGAATATGTGGAATATAGCTGGAATAGGTTGGTTTATAGCGAGTTTAACAAAGTCTTTATTGTTTTATGGGATTTTTAATCTTGCCGGGGAGCTGTTTTTGTATTCACTTTGGGCCATGTGATGCCCTGACACCGGTCATGTGATATGGGCTGCGATAGGCACAAATCCCTGGGCAGCAACAAAAGAAGAAAGAGCAAAAAGAAAAAGCTGAGAAAAAGCTTGCAATTTGGAAAAAGGCCAATTGTACCCCGGTGAAGGCCTTTTTGATCAGCGAAATGACACATGTGTGCAAGATTAATAGCGCGAGATTGGGATATTTTATTTGTTGACCACGAGCTTTTAAATTCTTGCGCTGAAACAGATTCTTCTCATGCAGGCAAAAACCCCAAAAAAAGATACACTGCCAAATGTGTAATTTTTAAATAGAAGTTTTCAAAGCACACGGTGCCACTAGCTAATTCATTTTTCCTTCCTTCAGTGGAAGGATGCACGCAAAACACTTGCAGTAAAGCCAAGCTGAGTGTCACAACGGCACCAAGACTGCAAGCTAAACTCTAAATTAGCAACTTCTAAATAAAAATATTAAAACAGTTTTTTGCTTTTTCTTTTTTTCTTTCCAACTCAATTTCACATTTTTCACTCTGCAGAGCGGTTCTGCAGCTGTGGTTGTTTCTATTTTCCGAGTGTAAAACCAAGTACTTAATTTGCTTGCTGCGAAATGCTTGAAAATAAAAAATGGGAAAAGACCCGTGTTGTTTTCTGAAAAAAAAATARAAAGGAAAAAAAAGGGGGAAAAGCCCTACAGATTATTTAAATGAAGTGAAAAACATGTTTGAGAAGAGATCGATAGCATGCATACAAACCCCTTATCTGAGCCAGTACAAGATGATGAAAATCTATAAATAGCCCACAGATCTTAAACTTATTTTTTTTTTTTCCCCTGGAATACATGCATTACACTGTTGTTTTGGATAAAAAACAACAACAACAACAACAACAAAACCCTTTTAAAGCTAGTAAGTTGGACCATTACAAATTAATCCTGACTTTAATAACTGGTTAAAGACCCCTTCAGCTTTATAAGTAACAAAAAATATTAAAGCCTGTGATCACAGCGAGCTTTTCTCATTTCTCCTCTAACCATTTGTTATTTAATCCAATACTAGTAATCCAATTTGTCCATCAGACTTTTAAAGGGCAGAATGCAACTTCCCCAGCTTAGACACTTTTCAAAGTACAATATATTTTTCAAATGAATGCTGGATGTTTCATTTTTTTTTTTTTCCCCCAACTGTTCCTAGCTCTAATGTATGAGGAAAAAAAAGAACAAGATGAACATTGTTCGGACTGATTAAGTAAGAGCTCATTAAAGAGCTGTCAGTGCCGTACTTTGAATATGCATGAAGCATATAATCAGATCTAGTACCGTCACTAGAGGAGAATACGGTAAGTACAAAGGATTGATTTAATTACTTAGAGTGGGCTGTGGTGGTAAAGCAGTCTTGTTAGCGCCCAAAGAAAAGGAGGTTGTATTCTGGCACGGTTAGGGGAAAAAGGCAGTTTTAGCTTCTGCCACAATACCTAATCTCAGGATAAAGCACTTTACATTGTAGCTTAAAATGAAGACTGTCAGTTTTCTAAAAAGCCCAGAATTCATCTCATCGTGTTTAACCCCACCTGGTTAACTATCTAGCAGCACGTATTTATTCTYGTGAACACGTAATTATGGCTCTACCTTTTTATCGTAGAGTTCAATAATGACTTCTGAGAACAGTCTTCAAATAAGGCTGGCCCGAGCAGCAAACATCCTATGCATGCCGAATGCAGAGTAAGAGATTTGAAAAATGCAAAGCCAGCAACTGAGACGAAAGAGTGAGTATACCCCTCTTTAAGGGAAAAGACAATATGCCTTTTAATGCCATACTTCATTATTAGAGATTCGCTGATGAGAATTGCTGGCAAGGTTTCCCTAATTTTGCCTT